CGGTGGTGACTATCTTTAATTCTCCCTTCCCCGCATTCTTCTCTTCGTTGTCATCATCGTCGTGCCTACTGCAACCACACCCGGAGAACAATTTTTGTGTTATTCCTGCAGCCATCACACCTTCTTGCCACCCCTTTTCACTCTCCTTCGCTCTTCCACCTAGTTGTCCACCTCCAGCCAGGCCTTACCTTCACTTCTACAACCAGTCACAACCTTACCATCCCTCCTGCTTCAAGCCGCAACCCCACCTTTGTTGTAGCCAGCAACAGCCCTTACCTTCCCTCTTACAGCCAACCACAACCCCTTGCCATCTTCCTAAAGTCCAACTCACTTAACCGACCACCAACACTGTTGGAATACAACCCTGATTGAGTTGGGTGTCGTGTCAGTTGTTATTTCTCATTCCAATGTGTTGGTTGTATTCTATTTACTTTTTTAGTAATAATATTTATTTCTTATTGTTATTTGGGTTAACTCCGATATCAATTGGTATCAAAACTAGCATAACCCTAGTCCCATCGTAAGGTTACCTAAATCCCCACTACCAAAACCCAAAACTCTTCTTTGCCACCCTATATACCCATGCCCTAATCATGCCATCGAGGAGACAAGTATCAAACGCCGACCAAAAGCTTAACATGGAAAAGGTGCAACAGGAACTTCATCGCCTTCAACAATGGATTGTTGAGATTAAGGAAAGAACCCAAGAAGAGGTCACCTACGAGCGTGGTAGCGAGATCCAAAAAGGAGAGAGGGAAGAACACCTGAATCACTTTCGTAGAGATGATTTCAAAGAAGAGGTAGGAAGGCCACAAAGCTTTAGTGTATACTATTGGAGGAGACCAAGAGAAGAGATGTCTATTGAAGGATATAGAGATTTAAGAGGGAAATTTGATATACCAAATTTTGGGAGAAGAATGAATCTGAATCGCTTCATTGAGTGGCTGCAGACTGTCGAGAGGATCTTTGAATACAAGGAGGTGCTAGTTGACAGAAAAGTGAAGCTTGTCGCCACCAAGCTGAAGAAAAATGTCTCATTGTGGTGGGAGAATTTGAAGAGGGAGAGACAGAGAGAAGGGTGGAGCAAGTTTACTACTTGAGAGAAGATGAAGAAATAAATGCCGAGGCAATACTTACCCCCACACTAGTGTCAAGATATTTTCTTGAAGCTCAATCACCTACACCAGAGGAAACTATCAGTGGAGTACGTTACAAAACTTATGCAATTTAAGCTGAGATATTAGCTGACAGAGTTAAAGGAGCACATGATAGTCAAGTACTTGAGAGGCCTGAAGCCCTCCATTGACAACATGGTTTAGCTACAATCTTACTAGTCGTTGGGCGATGTTCAGACCTTGACACTAAAGGTGGAGAGACAGCAGAAGCAGAGCAAACACCCATCGTCATTTAGACAACTACCTAAGAGAGTTAAAAAAACAGATCAGGAGAACAACAGAGCCTCTCAGAGTGAGTGATCAGAGTAGCACATCCAACACAGTGTGCCAGCGAGAAAAAGCTTCAGATGACATGAATATGGGCATAACACCTCTAGTTTCCCCACAAGTAGAGTTGTCTCATTCACTAGGGTGGTGGAGGAGATGCATGAGTAGGAAGATGAAGAGTAGGGTGAGGTATACCAACTTTCACCAGATGATGGCAGGATGCTTGTGGTTCAACGGGTCCTTCAGACTACGGGTACAAGGATGCAACAATGGCTTCGCCGTAATATATTCCACACCTGGTGCACTGTGTGGGGAAAGATATGCAGCCTCGTCATCAATGGATGTAGCAATAAGAATGTGGCATCTATAGATGATGGACAAGTTGAGCCTCACGACTTAGAAGCATTCCCAACTATATTCCTTAACATGGTTGAATAAGAAGAACAGGGTCACAAAAGATGCCCCATGAAGTTTTCGATTGGGAACCAGCTGCAAGATCAGGTTAGGTGCGATGTGGTGCCCATGATCTCCATCACATCCTGTTGGGGAGACCACAACAGTTTGATCACAAAACTTAACATGATGGACTCAAAAATACCTGCTTATTCACCAAGGATAAAAACACATAATTCTCCTACCTTCTACGGAATCTGAGGTTACATGTGCTCTTGCCAGCGGAGAAGCGCCAGTGGGATTGGTTTTGGTGATCATAAAAATAAATAGCGAACAGAAGAACCAGTTTCAGACATAGGGCAGCCACTGTAGAGAGAATTTCGGGATATCCTGATAGGCAGATTGTTGTTATAACCACCATCATTAGGGGGACTCCAGTTAGTCCTCACGTTAGATAGGGATGAGCCAACCTTGAGCTACCTTTGAAAGACCCTACAAAATATACTTGGCACAAAGTTGTCCAATTTAGCAGTGCACCACTAAATGGTTGGGCCAATCTGAATGTCTGCTTGCAAGCAGGGAAACCTTTTCAGGTGTTTTGGGGGGACAATGCAACCAAAAGTGAGATCAAGATGCTCATATTGATGCATCGAAGACCTTTTCAACCCCGAGATATTACAACAATTGTCACCTTCAACGTGCAGACAAAAGCTCCGACAAATGAGATCGAAGCTCCCCCAACCCCATGAGATTGACATGGGTCGTATCCCACTTGAAATTTCCAACGATGGAAAGAAGGATCCCACTTTCATGCTTGGACCAAACCAGTCCAGATATTTTCGCTGTGGAGGAGTCGGTCGATCCTCTTAGGCCACTCCTACTTATCATATTAATATAAATTTATTTTTCTAAAATTTTAAGTTTAGTTTTTCTTGTGTTTTTTGTTGAGACAGCAGTTAGTGTCTCCAGTTCTCTCTTTTAGTGTTGTATCCAAGAGTGAGTCATGCTCCGGCCGTATCTCATTCTGAGTAAGTGACTAACCTCAAATTTCCTTCGTCGCATCCTTTCCTTTGTTGCAACCAACGTCGTATTTGCTGCAGCCACCCCTGTAGAATAGTTTTTGTGTTGTTCATATGGCAACCACACCTTCCTGCTGCCCCTTTCCACCCTCCTTGTTCTCTTCTTGTAACGATTGCCCTTCCACTTTGTCGTCCACCTCCAGCCAACCCTTTACTTCCCCATGTGGCCAGCCGCAACCATACCTTCACTCTTACAATCGGCCGCAACCCCACCTTTCCTCCAACAGCCAGCTGAAACCCTTACCTTTCCTCTAGCAACTAGCCACAAGCCCTTACCATCTTCCTACCGTCCAATTCACAATTCACCTAACCGACCACCGACCACATTGGAATAAAGCCCTAGTTGAGTTGGATGTCATGTCTGGTGTTATTTCCTATTCCAGCGTGTTGTTCATAACCTTCTATTTGCTTTTCCAGTAACAATATTTGTTTTATTACTATTGTTTGGGTTAACTTTGGTATCACCTAGAACAAAGGGCACTAAAACTATTCCACCAAGTACATTAGCACCCTAATTTTGCCCTACTTGCCCAACAATGACAAGTTTAACAAGCCATGGAGGGCTATTTGCCTTTTTGGGAGGATTTTAGAATCTTTTTAAAAATATTTCAAAACTATTTGAATATATATGCTAATCTATAAATACCTCATATAATGAGATGAAAAAATAATAGATTTGTGCTTCTTGAAAGCTTTAATGTACGAAACTTCCCTAAAGTTTCAAGAAAGAAATTTCAAAGGCTTCATCTTGTTAAAACTTTTGATCTTTTGATGCTTTTTGTAGAGTATTTTCAGATTTATATCTTTAATATATTAAATTAGAGTTTGATAATAAGAATTATAAATGATAGCTCTTTGATCAACTCCAAGTGTTGGAACATATTGTTTGCTAATTTATTTTGAATTTTGTATTTGGAGCATGGGTTGACTATACTATTATATTTAGATATTTGGGTAGCACTCGCCTGTATGGTGATTGTGAGTTGGTGAAGTTGTGATGTTGTGATAACTTTTCCACCGATTAAATAAGGAGCATGTGGTCGTGGTAGAAATCAAATTAGTGGAACCCTTTGAGTGGAAATTATGCATGAACGTAGATCATTTGGGGAGACAAACCACATAAAATTCTATTTTCATATCTCTGTAACAAGATTGACTTTTTGTGTACTTACTAAGTTAACTGCTTATGCTTGAAGTATATATTAATACACACTTGCAATCAAATTAATCAATCCTATAAATGTGATGCCACATAACTGAACTATGTTGCACAATAAATGATTAAGCTAGTGAATAGAACTATAAAATTCAAGAGTAATGATTAATTCAACAAGATTATCTAACACAATTAATATGCCAAGCACCTAAGTTACCAAACAAAATAAGCAGTGGTGAACACAAATATCTAATGCAAAATGTGAAAGGAATACCCTTTTTTTATGCGATTGGCATACACTCATATAAATTTGTCTATCACATTTCTATAGCTTATCTCTCCATTTTTGCACCTTTGTGTCCATTAAGTTTCCACATTTAATTGTTAAAATATAAACTTCCATGTGTTTGTAAGGACTTGAGTTAGGAAAATTTGAATTAAGTTTAAATGTGGTCACACCCAATTCCATGAGCCAAGTCTTCCTTGATATTCGTAGAAAGGCTTTAAACTTCCTCAAATAGTTCCATTTGTAAATGATTGTTAAATATGATTTTTGGTTCGGTAATGAAATCTCATTCTAAGGACAGTTCTTGGCTCAGTAATGAAATCTCATTCAAAGAAGCTCAGCCTTCTTTTAATAGTTTTAAAAGACTCGCTTGAAACAAAAACTGCTGCCGCTTCCCATTTTCAAAGATGACCATCAGACAAGGTAATTAAGAACAAAGTTTTGAAATAAAAACGAAAACGATTGAGCAATGAACGACAATAAGTCACTACAATGAGTTTGCAACTATCATTATTGCCGAGTATAAAACTATAACGGAAGAGGGATCTATAAATCTACTCATTGTTTGTATATCCAAAAACAGATTATGCACCAATGGATAGTCTAATGAAATAAAGTAAGAGAAAGAAGAAACTAAACCTTCAAATAATATCAAAGACTTCGAGAAACACCAAGTTGAAAGAGAAACCTGTAAATGCATCATCAATTCAAATAACGAAGTTTTTGAAACACAGACACTTGCACTCAAAAACCCCTTAAAGACCATTAAACCCTTCAATAATTCCAAAATAGTTGGTTAGACCTATATTGTTTTCTCAGATAAATTGCAATAAGTTTAGAGTATGTCCATTTTCTTTGACTTCTGGCCTCCAAAAGAGACTCTGAGCTTGAATGAAAATCTCCTTTCCCAAAGGCCTCAAAAACTAATGGATCAGTCAAAATCACTGGAGAATTATCCACATTCATTTTATCTAAAACAAATGATAAGTTCCTCCCAAGCCTTCTACCCAAGTAAGCGTCCACAACACAACCATATGTCACAAGATCAGGGACTACACCTTTGAATGCCATATGCTCAACACTCAAATGGAGATCCCAAAACAAGCCCATTCTAGAAAATGCTAGTGCCCTTATGTTGAATGTCGTGATATCAGGGGAGAATCCAGCCTCAATCATGGCCAAAAATTCTCTTTGGAGGCTTTTCATTTTGAAATTGGCGGCAAAAGAGAGCAACAGCAGGTTCCAGAGAAGGTTCCCAGTGTTCCTCCTGCGAAGACCAACATCCTTTAAAAATTCACCCAGGTCATAGAACTTCATGTGGCTTATGTATGCCAAAGCCATTGCTTTAATTGCTTCTTTCTCTATAAGAATTCTAGATTTCTTCAAACTTTCATAAGCAGCTTCCATCTCTAGAAGGGTACCATACATGCTATAGTACTTAAGAAAGTTATTCCCAGTGACAGAATCTACCTTAAAACCTCTAGAAACCATGTTCTTAACAACAGACTCCATCTTCTCCAACTGTCCAGCACTCCCAAAGCAAGTCACAGCTGCAGAATAAAGCTGAGAAGCAAAACTTAAATCTTTAGAGGCAGCTTCATCTAGAATCCGCATAAAATCCTCGAACCGTCTGGTTCTCACGTAGGTGTCCACTAAACATGAAACAACCCTGATGCTTGGCACAATTGCGCTATTCATTATCTCACCCCACAATGCCTCAGCTTCATCTATAAGTCCGCTCTCCAAGTAACAAAGCAAGAGAGCTGACAAGGTAGCAACTTCAGGTTGGATGCCCTGAGTTTTCATTTCATAGAGTACCTTCTGAGCAAAATCTGGTATTATGTAACATCTACATGAACCGATAATGGCAGAAATCTCAGCTTCCTCAAGCTTTCTATCTCTTAAATTCCATTGCTGCATTACTTGTGCCTGTATTCATCGGGAGGGGAAAAACGTTACCTTGGTTATCTAATGAATTCTCCTCAATCAGTTATTATACACAAAATCAATATTACTGGAAGCTCACGTACTCCAACGAACAACAAAAACTGCAATTCCAAACTACGTATTCTAAATATTGTTTAAATCCTACTGTCAAAAGTCCATCCATGGCCGGCAAGTGAGGGAATCAATAACAAAAAGAATAGCGCACCTGCTGGCACAAGCTGCCTGGACTCGAGTAAACCCTAGCACGCCGCAACTTGATAGCACGCGGAGAAGAAGATAACGACCGAAAGAGTGGACATACAGCCGGGGTTATAGCTATTTCCATTTGAGCTTGCCGCAGATCGACTGAAAGGAAGGACCTTTAGCCCAAACTTGTTGCCGCCATTATCGAGCACAAAGGCTCATTGGCTGCAAGTCCGATTGAATTAGGATTTAATAAATTCTGTAAAATTGAATTTAATAAATTTTATGTTAGTTAAATTTTGAATTTTTTTTTTTTTTTTTGTGATATGAAAGGCATTAGTTTTATTAGAGAGGTTGGTTCCAAGTGGTTTGGAAAAAAAATGCTTGTTTTAATATTTTAGAGATGTTATTCAAGGTTGATTTTAAAAAGGAGTGTTTTAATTTTGATTTTTAAAATGATTGTTAAGTTTTATTTTAAAGTTATTTTTAATTTCTTAAAAGAGATTTCTATGGAGCTTAAGCATCATAAATTTTAAAATTTACTATATTTGGAGCACACCTAATTGATATAGAAAAATATATTTCTTGGGTTACATATTATTATTATTATTATTATTATTATTATTATTATTATTATTATTATTATTATTATTATTATTATTATTATTATTATTATTATTATTATTATTATTATTATTATTATTATTATTATTATTATTATTATTATTATTATATTTTTAAGAAATAAGATATTATTTAGAGCACATTTAATTTTCATATAAAGTTATAAAAATATTCATGTTCTCTTTTTTCTCTTTTTATTGAAATTTTGGCATATAAACGTTGTTTAAGTTCTCTCTCTCTCACTTAGCCTAAGGAATTAAATCATATTTCTTACAAGTAACATCAACTATAAATTTTAGGCGACCCTGAGATCATAATTAGCTTGAATTCACATTTTATATTGGCCATAAAAAAAAAACATTCAACTGGCAGAGGCCTTAAAACATGTAAAATCATCTCTGTTGCATAATAAAAATCCCAATTTGTTTGAGCATATATGTCATAAAATCCCAACTTGCATTTACATGAATATTATAGAATCTCAACTTGCATTTATTGATATATCATAAAATCCCAACATACATTTGCATATATATCATAAAATCCAAACTTGCATTTACATGAATATCATAAAATCTCAACTTGCATTGACATATTAATCATAACTACCAAATGTGCTTGAATTTGTCTCTCTATATTTAGGCATGAAGCATAAAGTAATATGAATTTGACTAACAAAAAACAGGTGAACACGAGGCATGAAGCATAAAGTAATATGAATTTGACTAACAGAAAACTTAGGTGCACGATTTTTTTTTGTTTTATTCTGCAACATGAAATATAATGTTTAACACATAAATTTAACTAACATGAAACATAAATTTAAGAGTAGCATGACACATAGAATTTAACATGGATTTTGCTAACAGGAACATCAGTTAACATGGAGCATAAATTAACATAGGCTAACATGGAATATAAGTGAGCATCACTGGTTTTTGTTTCTTTTTAAAACTCTTAACTACCAGCTTGTCTATTTATATGTCTTCATTGTATGATTCCTCTTTTCAAATAAATCTCTCTCTCAAATTATATAAATAATTCAATAGGAGAGGAATTGGAAAAGACGGGATATATGACGAAAATAGACAAACAAATTTTAAAATGAAACATGGAAAGCTTATTTACGGGAATCCTCATGTGATAGGTCGAGAGTATACGTTCGAACAAGATGGAGTCAAAATACCTCCAAACACGAAATCCACAAAGAAAATCCCCACATAAGCCACCCATAACTAGAGAACCAAAAAGAACATTTTTTTTCTAGGGTCAAGAGTACTCCCAAAGGAATGTTCACATGGCTCTGTTGACCTCATTTTTTATGAGGTCTAATTCTCTTCTTTAGAAGCCCTGGGATCTAGCCATAAGATTTTTGTCCTAGAGGAATAGTGATGAAACCTACCCCCTTAAAAATTCCAAACACTTATTGGCTCTTCTTGTGAAGTCCCATATGGGTGGTCACAAGCTATCATTTGTAACTTGAGACAACTAAGACCAACATATGAAGACCCAAGAGTGAATTCCCATAGAATCAGTTGGCCTTAGGGTAGCCCTGGGTGGCTTGGACTTGGACACATTTGAAATCCCCAAATTCCCTAACACACCCAAACCCATCCATCTTACCTAAATTGGCCTTTCTTCCCCTTGAAGTTCATGGCTACTCCTTAGGCTCTTTTGAAGACACATGTGGGTGGTCCTAAGTCCCTAACCCTTTACTAGGATGACTGACACCATTAAGTGGGGGCTCCAAAATGAGTTCTCATATGACCATATGGCTTTGAGGAGGTTTCATGGCTTGCATGCTCATATCATCCAATCAACCCTAAATCCACCAAAATTTGTCAAATGACCAAAATACCCCCAAATCCTCATAAATACCTAAAATTATACAAATACCCAAACCTTCACCAAAAATCATTTTAATCCTCTCCAAATTATCAAAATACCATAAAATTACTAAAATTTCCCAAAATATCACAATTTTGCACCAAAATACCAAAAATCACCAAAATTCCCAAATTGCCCCTAATGTTTACCAACTCCATTTCAAATCCTCCTAATGACAAATCCAAATCTAACTCCAACAAAATTTAATCCTGAATTCATATGTATAAGATCAAACTCAAATCAATCCAAATCATACATAAATCCAAAATCCATCAAATTTAAGCTCACATGACATATTCAATTTCACCAAATCCATGCCCCAAATTTCCTCATGACAATTCTTCCATGAAGCCCATCATGAATAACTTAAATCAAAATTCAAGCCCAAATCAATTACACATGACCTATTTTAAAAAGCCCACCAAAACCAAACCCAATTTATAATTCCTTTGAAATCAAAAGCCCGCATGAAAAATTCCTTATTCTCATCATCTATTTAATCAAAATCAATCCTAGCTCTAATGTCATAATCAAAATCACCCAAAATTTGATTTATACCAACACCTCACAAAACCCCCAAAATTTCTAAAATTCCTCCTCATGAAAGTTGGCTAAGCCATATGCAATCTGTGGAGCCTCCTCCAAGCCAAATATAAGCCATATGAGCCATGTGAAAGTCCATCATACCTTAAGTGACAAAAGGAGGACATGCTTTCAAGCCCCCAAGCTTTGCCTCACCATCCCATGCTTCATGCCAAGCCTAAATTCAAACCCTAACCTCTTGGATGTGCTCCTTAGACTGAAAACAAAGACCAAGAAGATCACACCAGCCACCGTGGAGAGGTGGACCAAGCCATTTCCAAGGGCTAAACCCAAGTCAAACCTAAAAGTGACCTAAACCCCATTCCTCTTTGATCCACCTTTGGCCACTTGGCACAACTCAATTGCCTCCACAATTCTCCACCCTGACCCCTCTGAGCCACCTAGTCACCACTCTTGACCTTGCCGACTGCCCTAGACACCGGAAAACACCAAACCCGAGATGCCACCCATGGCCAAAACACCAAATTCAGCCAATCCATTGTGGCTCACTCCCATTGGATTGTTGTCATCTTCTCTCCTCCACCTAAGCAGCACTTTGCACCCACTGACCAGCCCAATTGAAGCCCCCTTCCCTATCTATAAAAACACCACCACCTCACGCCAAAGAGAGGTGATGCTTAAAACCTTAGCGAAGTGCTGCCAAAATTGCTACAAAACATTCCTTTAACTTTACGAAGCTCATCCTCACTATCTTCAGACCTCAAATTGAGCCTTCCAAAAGCTTCACCATAGCCTAAAATCACTTCCACAATCAAAATCCTCCATTCCCAAGCTCTCTAACCTACTCCATGACTAAGCTCAATCCACCATTTGGTCTAGATCATACCTAAACCCAAACACAACTCAAAGTGACGTGTTGAGGATCTTTGTGAGGTCAAGAGATTGTCTCTAACCAACTCAATTGAGGCCTCACCTTTTGGGCAAAGGTATAACCCAAAATCCCAAAAGTTTACCTCGGTTTGGACCTTTATGAAATAGATGTGTATTTCATATGTATTTAACTGTATATAGGTTTGTATCACTTAGATGGTGTAGGAACAAACCACACTTTATTTTATTAAGTATAGAGTGAGATCTTAGGGTCAGAAGTTGTACGGTTATCAAGTGCAAGCGATCAAGGACAATGAACTGATGCTGTTCATTTTTGCGTGTATCGAACAAGCGGCGGAGAAGAAGTCTGACGGGAATGTGGTACATGAAACAACGGGGCGAGTCAGTGCTTGTGCGGAGAGGCCAGCCAACCAAAGCCTGCCACGTGGGTGTTTGGAGCTGCGGAGGATGATAGGGTGTCAAGTCAGATAAGTAGAGAAGTAGGGTATTTTCTAATTCAAATTAATTTAGAAATTTAAAAAATACATATCTTGGTGCAGAAAAATTCTGAAAATAAAATGAAAATGCCCCTGTGCTCAATGAATAAAGAAGAATAATGTGGACTAAAAAAAATATTTGCCTTATATTTATTTTAAATTAATTAAATGCATTAAACTTATTTAAAACATAATTAATTAAATATTAATCAAAGTAATGTGAAATTTGGAGGGTTTACTCTTCATATGCTCAGGAGGGTTTTCTGATTTTTCCAAATTCAAAGAACACCCTTATGATGAAAAGTCCTAATTTTCTAGGATTATTATTATTATTTTAATTAAATAATTATGAAAAAATAAAATAAAGTTTTGAACAATATAAAATCAAGTTAAGTAGGTTTACTATGGTTAGAAGACTTTAGGAAAAATAAAAATCAAATTAAAAAAAAAGTTAATATGGATTTTTCTATTCAATAAAAAATATTAAAAATCAGAAAAATACAAAATAATTGAAAAAACACCAAATTATCCCAAAATGAAGAAAGTGGTCTTGTAAGATCTCGGTAAGAATTTGAAAGTTAGAAAAAATATTTTTAATGCAAAAAGGTATTTTCTAAGAAAATAAGGATTTTTGCTTAAAATAATTATATAAAATAAAATAAAAATCAGAAAATTATGAAAATTAATTTGAATTATTCCTTATGACTAGGAAAACCAATAAAAAATAAAATGGAAGTAAAAAATAAAAAGTTCATTTTTCAACTATTTTTCAATTTAGAATTAAT